AAAGTTGTTTGTCTTACCTGAAAGATCTGTAGTCTGTTGCTAGCTTCTTGGGGTGGTATACCTGGAACCATGGGTCCTTCCTGCAATGAACAATAGAGCCTACATTTTATTTCTTATTCCTAGATCTTTGGCACATTGTTATGCTTCTCTAATATCTCCTTCTAAATAAATTAAATACATTTTAAAATATTTTAAATGGGCTGATTTTGCTCTGGTAATATGAAGCTTTCGTTCACTTTTTTTTTTTTTGCAACAGCTTTATGGAGATATAATTCTTGTGCTTGGCAATTCACATATTTAAAGTTCACGGCTCAGTGGTCTTTTAGAATTTTAGAATGTTCGCAGAGTTGAACAGTGGAAATAATTCATTGTAGAACACTTTCATCACTCCCACGTGCATCCCGGGACAAAGGGCCTTGACAGAGCTAATAGAAAAGGAGACAAAATTGCATCTTGTGTGACGTGTGTGCCACACGAGCTCTGTTTCATTTCATTTGCGAATACAAATGATGATGTAGTGCTTGCACATTAAAAGATTGACACGGAGCTCTGAGAACAGCTTTCTTCCATTAATTGTTCTACTCAATGTGGGACTAGAGATCCACGTTTGTTGACTACTCAGTGGAAGCTGGAGGCGGATTGTAGTGGGCATGAGCAAGAAGCACCTCAACATGACGAAAGCATGCCTAACATCCAAGGTCTGTTCCCAATAGGAAATTAAGGGGTGCTTTATTAACAGAGTCTTTACTAGCATGACTATTACAGCTGTGCTACAGAGCTGGACTGACCCCATGGTTGCAACCATAGGCTCCACTCAGAACCGTGAGGCTGGAGCAGGACCAAGGAGAGCTTCTTTCTGTCGCACACAGGGTCACACTACACCAGGAACCGACTGGACAACACCTAACAGCAACAATCACCTAATACACCAGAGAAGCCCTAGTGGTGGAGTGGGTTACATTTGGGGCTGCTAATCACAAGGTCAGCAGTTCAAAACTACCAGCAGCTCTGCAGGAAAAAAGATGAGGCTTTCTACTCCCGTCCAGAGTTACAGCCTTGGGGAGAAATGGAGAGCAAATAACAATGAGTTCAGGATTGAAAACAAGGTTCTAAAACTGATGGTGGTGAGGAGTGTACAACTCTCCTTGTGTGATTGAACTATTGACTTGTATGACACATGACTTATATGCCAATGAAACTGTTGGAAATAATAATAATGGGGGGGGGGAGTAAGAGAGAAAACTCACAACCTTAAAAACCCTCCGAGTCCTTACTCATCAGATCAGAACATCGATCTGAGTGGCTATCAAGGGAGGAAAAGATCAAAGGAGACAGATTTGGATTCTTTTGTGACATGTGAGATGGTTTCAAACCAAAAAAGGTTAATTTAATTACAAAAAAAAAAACAGAAAAGAAAATTGAAGAGGATTACGAGTATCTTAGGGAAATTTTACTATTGGTAGTTCATTTAAATAAAAAAATGTGTACCACTGTGGAATAAAAAAAGAGTTTGTCTGAGAGACCCACAATGGCAGTTCTACCATAGGGTCACTAGGAGTCAGAATCAACTGCTTGGCGATGAGTTTGGTGTTTGGTTTTAGAAATAATAGATAAGACTTCCAGAATAGTAGAAAGATAGGACAATCAAATATTGATTAGCCCAACTTAAAGAGATGCACAAAGTATACTTTTAAAGTGCTATGTAAGAAGCACCAAGGTCAACAATTACAAGAATCTACGTATAGCCTCCTCCCTGGGGGATGGACAGCAGAGAAGAGGGCAAGGAGAGACATTGAACAGTGTAACATATGACAAAATAATAATGATTTATGAATTATGAAGGGTTCATGAAGGAGGGGGGAGTAGAGAGGGAGGGGGAAAATAAGCAGCCGATAATTAAGGGCTCAAGTAGAATGCAAATGTTTTGAGAATGATGATAGCAACAAATGTACATATGTGTTTGACACAATGAATGGATGTATGGATTGCGATAAGTATTGTACGAGCCCCCAATAAAATGATTTTAAAAAAAAGAAACACCAAGGTCATAAATCATCCTGTAGATCCACTATCAATTCAGACGCATAGCCACACTATATGACAGAGTAGAACTGCCCCTTTGGATTTCTGAGGAGCAGGTATGGCCCCAGCTCATAACCCACTCTGCTACCAGGGCTCCTTAACCTCCAGGAGGTAGAGCGTTGTCAGTCAGGGCAAAGGATGAATGATCTATGGGACTGACCAATCGTGGCAGCTATACTTTATGTTCAGTGACCCTTGGGGTTCCCTAAATGCTGTGAAAATGCAACATCAGTCCCATGGCACCCCCGTACCAGCTGTCCATGAGTGTCAGAGTAGAGCTGTGAGCCACGAGTTTTCAGTGGCTAATTTTTCAGAAGTAGGGCACCCAACCTCTCATCCAAGGGGCCTCTGGAAATCTCCAACTTTAAGGTTAGCCGTCAAGAAGACTAACTACTTACATCATCACCCAGAGACTCCAGCATCTTGGTACTAGGGCAAGGAAGAAACTGACTTCAAATAGCTGTGTTACATTTTGAGTATGATAATTCTGGTCCTCACACAATCTCCAAAGGTGTTACTCCTTTTAATAGTCCATTCTTTTTCTCTATAAAGCAGGCTTAAAGGAAGAGCTATCTCTTTTTTTGTTTTAACAGTTTTAATGGCTTATAATCCACATGCCATATAGATCAATAGTTTGGGCAGATTACAGACGAGCTGTGCACTCATCACCTCAATCAATTTCAGAGCATCTTCTTTTCTATACTCGATTCATTGTCGCTAGCTCCCCATTTCCCACCAATACCCCCTGCCACCACCTCAAGAAATGATGTGTTCCTGTTTGAGTTACCTACCCTGGATCACATTCAAAGAAAAACATTATAAATAAATAAATATGACAAAACAAAACATATGCACACACCCCAACGGCACAAACAAAACAAGCAAACACATAGAAAAACCTCACTTGAAAAGATAACAGAAATTTTTAAATAGAACAAATTTAATATTGGTCAAAGGGGAGAACAAATGAAGAGTTTTAAAATTGTAACCTAATTACATCTACATTAGTCCCCTTTCCGATGTGCTCTGTCTGGTAGCAAGGCTGTTCACATCTCCCAACTGTGGTCAGAGGAGCTTAACAGGAGGTTTATTCCAAGTGGGGACCAAGGGGGGCGGGGTCGGCAAATAGACTTGGGGCTTTCACAGACAATCATAGCCTCCTGCAGTATGAGTGCTCAGAAGTTACCCTCTGATACCATTCCCTTCTCTGGTCTTAGATTTTATTGTTTGTCATCCTTGGATCCCACGGCCAGTGAGCTTCTTCTCTGTGGACTTAGCTGCCACCTCACTTAGATGGCTGCTTGTTTTAAGACAAGGCTGTAAGACCCCAGATGCTATTCCTTCTGATAGTTGGATAGCATCTAATTTCTTCATCACCCTCTGCTATGGCACCCACATCTTCAGTGATTTCTTCATAAGAGTAAATATCAGGTCAAGTCACATCATAAGAAAACTGTTCTTAGTTTAGGGCTACAATTAAATGTGAGCTCAAAATCTCTTTATGTAGCTATAGGTTACATATGTCCCTGATCCACTTTAGAGACCTCATTATCCTTTTATTGGAAAACATTATAAATCATCCCCATGGGGGGATGAGTTACCTTTCCTATCTAAATAAATAGATATGACAAGACAAAGCACAATAAAAACAACAATAACAAAATAAAACATTGAAAATCCTTACTTGAAAAGATAACAGAAAATTAAAAAATAGAACCAATTTAAAATTGGTCACAAGGAATAACAAATGATAAATTCTATGAATAGTACCCTTAATTTGAGCTGTCCCTTTTTTTGATAGCTGCAAGTATGTAAATAGTCTCTGGCAAACACAAATCACAATGCATCTTAGGTTTATCACTTTCCTTTCATATAGACATATAACAAAATATCTTTCTTTTTTTTTTTTTTTGCCAGTCCATGATGTGTGAATTTTCTTTTCCTTTTTTTTTCAAATCATTTTATTGGGGGCTTGTACAACTCTATCACAATCCATCCATCCATCCATTGTGTAATAGGATCTCTTAATACATGCCTACACATGGTTAAAAATTACCTTATCATAAGACTCTGCAAAGTTCAGTACATCCTCCTGAAACACTTCCACGGATTCGAGTAAATTACTTTTAAACTTTGGCTGCACTTGAACTAGTTCATCTTGCACAGAAACCTAGAATAAAAAAAGCATACTCAACATTAGGACAAAAGCAATCTATTTAAGATGAGACATAGCTCACAGGGGTCCTATATGTACAAAGTTAGCTCTGTAATAGTGTTTGTTGTTTGCAATAAAGATAAACCCAGCGCACCAACAGGAAACTCAAATCATTCTGTGCATGAATCAAGAAGTAAAGTGATCTTCCCTGGGACTGTAATTTGGGAAAAAACTTTTCCAATTGGCCCTCGTCGGGCATCATTGTGACTGCTCTGGGCTGGACAGCATTCTGCATGTGCTTGCAGTATGTGTAGTCTTCCTCGCCAACACAATTGTTCACAGCCATCAATTCTTTTTTTCTTCTTCTCCGGGACTCATCGTCTAGCTTCTACATGCCCACGAATCCATTAAAAAGACCATGGGTTGGGATAGGCACACGTTAGTCTTAAAAGTGATATCTTTTTAGCACGTGAAAGAGGTCTTTTGCAGCAGTTTTGCCCAGCGCATACAATGCTTGATTTCCTAACTGCTGTTTCCCTGGGCCTTCATTGTGGAGCTCTTTACCCGCAAGAGCCAGGAGTGGAGCACAACCTCTGGACCCGAGACCCCTGTGCAGTGGTCCTCCTGGTACAGACGACAGCGGTTACATCAGAGGATCAGCAGCAGAACCATGAAACCCGAGCATGGAACACAGTGATGGATTTCCCAACCCACAGAGCAAGTTAAGACGAATGCGTTCGTGCAGGGGCTAGTTTGCAGAGTGGAGTGCCTCTGGGCACTTAATTGGGGAAGACGGACTTGCAGACCCACAGAAGTGCAGCTTGGGTGCCTCTGAGTTGAGACTCACTAGAGTGGAGGAGTGCCTTTGGGCTGACCCACAGAACTTGTGCTGAATGCCTTCAGATTACGGTTTCCAGGGGCATTTCTGAGCAGACCTGAAACTTTGTAACACGTCCTGGTAAACAACAACCATGAGCAAATCTCACTGACAGTACAACTTGTTCACTTCTCTTGCAAACCCTTTAATCATGCATTTTGTCTATGTTTCTGTGTAGTCACTGCAATGCATATCAGCACCTATAGAACATTAGTTAAGTCAGTACACCATCCAAGCTAAGGGGTTCATTTTCCAGAACTATATCAAACAATGTTCTAATGCTATCCATAAGATTTGTGATGGGTTCCCCACCCCCACCTCCCACCCCACCAAGTGAAATAACAGGTGCTTCTTCCAAGTCTGTCTTAATCTGGAAGCTCCATTGAAGCCATGGGTGACCTTTGTTGGTCTTTGAAATACCAGTGACATTCCTTCCGAACAAGCAGCAAGCCAACATGAAAACCCACACAGTATGGCAAACTGTTGTCTACTAGTATAGTTCTTATTTTAAAAAGTAGAAAATGACAAGTGTTGAACAAGAAGTGGAGAAATTGAAAGCCTCATGCTTTGCAAAAGAAACCGTTTGGGAGTTCCTCAAAATAGTTAAACCGTTATTTAAACATATCTAGCATTGACGTCCAAGGTATTGAATACCCCATGAAGAACTGAAAACGGGGACTCAAGCAAGCAAACAATCTTTCCAATAATCACGGCAGCATTACTCACAATACCCCAAAGGTGGAAGCAATGGAAATGTCCATCCACAGATGAATGGATAAACAAAATGTGATATACACGAGGGGAAGTCAAAATATATTACTATTAGAAACCAAAAGAGATCTACACAAGTGGAAGAATATTCTGTGTCCATGGATACAAAGACGTAATACTTGTGAAAATGGCAATACTGCCTAAAGCAATCTACAAATACGAGGCAATTCTGATTCAAATCCCAACTTCATTCTTTTGAGAAATGGAAAAACTAAATACCAATTAATATGGAGAGGTAAGAGGCCTGGGATAGGCCAAATTTTTTTTTAATTTAAAAAATACTTCTCCAAAAGAAAAACAAAGTAGGAGGCAAGGCCTATTGTACTACCTAATCTGAAAACCTGCTTACTACCCAGCCACAGTAGCCAAAACAGCCAGGTCCTGGTACACTGACAGATACATAGACCAATAGAACAGGATAGAAAACCCAGAAATGAAAGCATCCCTTTACAGCCAACTGATTTTTGACAAAGGACCAAAAAGTATTAAATGGGAAAGGGACACCCTCTTTAACAAATAGAGGTGGAAAACTTGGCTCTCCATATGCAGAAGGGTGAAATATGGCCCGTATCTTACCCCAGGCACAAAAACCAAGTCAAAAAGGATCAGAGACCTAAATGTAAACCAGCATGCTATAAGGATCATCAATAAAAATATGGGACCAACTTAAGGTCCCTATTGCCGGGCAGACACAGACTACCAACACACTACAGGAAGCATGCACAGTGGGAGACAAAATAAATGACTGGGGCTGATTAAAAATAAAACTCTTATGCCCATCAAAAGACTTCATCAAGAGTAAAACGAGAGCCCACGGGTTGGAGGGAAAGTTTTTAGCAATGGCACAATAGACACAGGAATAGTTACTAAAATAGTTACTAAAATAGTTACTTCTACAACACTTCAATAAAGAAAAAACACAAATAAGGTAGTCAAAGGACATGAATAGATACTTCACAAGAGACAGCACTCTAATGGCTGACTAACACATAAGGAAATGTCCGCAATCACTAGCCATCTGGGAGGCACAAATCAAAACAATGATGAGATATCACCTTATACCCACAGTGATAGCCCAATTCAAAAAAACAGAGAACCACAAATACTGGAGAGGCTGTGGACAGATTGGAATGCTTCTACACTGCTTATGGGCTTGTCCACATGTACAGTCATTGTGGAAAGTGATATGGCAAACCTAGAACAACTGGGAACAGAAATGATCCGGCAGTACCTCTCTGCTGGGCATATAGGCCAAAGAAGTGTGAGACGGAACACACACAGATGTATGCTCTCCTGGTTGTATGGTCACTGCAGCACAGTTCACAATAGCAAGAGGCTGGAAATCGCCCGAATGCCCATCAGTAGAACAGATAAAGAAATGATAGGACATACACACAACTAGGTACAACTAGGGTACATACTATGCATCCCTAAAAAACAGTGATGAAACCACAATGCACTTCATGACATAGATGGGCGTGGAAACCATTGTGGTGAATGAAGTTTGTCCATCCCCAAAAGGCAAGTAAGAGTCCACTACTATAAGGACAAACACCAAGACGCAGGTAGGCTTCTGCTCTCAGGTGATGTAATCTAATCCTGTCTCCCAAGCAATAATGTAGACAGCCTGCCTAGTGCCCATGAATCATATATCACTCCTTTTATATGTACATCTTAAAAACTACTTCGACAGAGGAGCCATCATCTCAGCTGGGGTCAGTTTCTCAGGATGGCCAGAAAAGGGAGGACCACTCGGTTGCACTTACAGGTCATTGTGCTAAGGTCACCCAGATCAACAGAGGGATAAGCAAGCCTTACTGGAGCCCAAGGTCAGGACAGGGGCACAGGAGCATGGATGTCTCAGGGAGGGAGGCTACATTTATGATGGGAACAACCTTCCATTGGGAAACATGCTTGACAACACTTTTATAGAAACCAAAGAGAAAATACATCTGATACCACGTTCCTAATTGGACACTTTTGACCTAGCTTCTATCCACCCCTTGGTGACCCTGGTGATGTGTTACAGATTACGAGGACTTTAGAGTCTGTCTTTTCAAGACACACAACATCCTTCACGGGCCAAATCAGAAGTCAAAGATGTGGTAACCCCACTAAACTCACTGGGCTTTGCCTCAAACTCCCCTACAGTAGATTTAAGGCACCGACATATGCCTTTGGACTTGTGTGAAAAGAGGCAGGACTGCAAGATCCCAAGGTGATGGAACTGGTGGCTGTTGGACTTGGATTTGGATGGCTTGTTTTGAGGGTGTCCAAAGAATGGTGGCCTGGGGCTACTATGTATTCACTATGTGGATGCCCTCCTGGCTTGCTTATGACATGCATTAGTCTGGTACGCATGGTTCTGCCTTTGTGAATGGGTGTGATTGAAAATGTTGCCCTCTCACCAACCCCCACTGTTTGTGTAAATAGTGTCCAGCCACTTCAGCGTTTCATCGGTACGAAGCAACAAGGCATGTCTCGTGGTCTAAAAAGCAGGCCTACGCATGGATAACTTCCTTCCCTGAACAGTGTTTTAAATTCTGTACCACTGGCTAAATTAATGACACTTTGAGTAGAATTGTCCCAGGGGGGTGATTTATAATGAATTATAATGTTCTCTGTCATAAAATGATAATGCTGCCTCTGAAGTGAACTAGAGACACATATAAACCACAGATACATTAATGGATTTAGGGCTCACTTAATGCTAGCCCTAATGAGGAATAATTTGTTCTTGTGACATGGCCCTACTTGAAGAAGAATAGCATTTGGGGTCTTAAAGGTTTGTCTTAAAACAAGCAGCTATCTAAGTGAGGCGTCCACTAAGTTCTTCCACATGGAAGAAGCACACCAGCCTATGCAATCCAAGGATTGTATATAGTAAGGTCCGAAGGAAGGAACAGTCTCAGAGTTTAAATTATGAATACCCAGTTTGCAGAGGGTTTGGGAGGAGAGTGGAAGTTCAAAATCCATTTGCAGGCTCCCCACATGGATTAAGAAGCACACCAGCCTATGCAATCCAAGGATTGTATATAGTAAGGGCCGAAGGAAGGAACAGTCTCAGAGTTTAAATTATGAATACCCAGTTTGCAGAGGGTTTGGGAGGAGAGTGGAAGTCCAAAATCCATTTGCAGGCTCTCCACATGGATTAAGCCTCCCGCGAATCCCCTCTGACCATAGTCAAGGGGTCGGAATAGCCTTGCTTTCAGACAGAGAGCATTGTAAACTGGATTATGGCAGATAGAATTAGGTTAAAATGCAACACCTTATTATTTGAGCTCCCTTTTGACCCATTTTAAAGTTGTTTCATTTTTTAATAATTTCTGCTTGCTTTTCACCTGAGGTTTTTCTCTGCTTTGGGTTTGTTGTTGTTGGGTTTGTTTGCTTGTGTTTTGTATGGTTATCTGAATATGAAATCTAGAATAGGTGAATCAATAGAGTGAATAACTGGATTAATAATTATCTAGGGGGCATGGCGGGGGAGATTAAGGGGAAGTGGGGAGCTAACAGCAAGTTCAAGAAAGAAGAACATGTTTTGAAATTGATTGTGGTGATAATTGCACAACTCTTCTTAATAGGATTAAATTTTTAAATTGTATCTGTGAGAGATATGCCAATATAACTGGTTTATTTAAGTACTGCTATAAAATCATAGAAAACTTTATTGAACAAAAATATCAAAATGCCAAACTTTTCTCTCTTGATATATCCTCCTTCTAGGTATATACCAGTGGTTCTCAACCTTCCCAATGCTGTGCCCCTTGAATACAGTTCCTCATGTTGTGGTCACCCCCCTCCACCATAACATTATTTCTGTTGCTACTTCATAACTATAAGTTTGCTACTGCTATGAATTGAGAACCACCGCTGTAGAGAGAACCGCTGGTCTATACAATCGTGAAAGTGGTCTTTCTTTCCATCTCTCAAACTTCTGTACTTTTGTATTTACACCGTGGTAAGATGGCAGCTTTGGTATCCTCAGGGGACTAAACTTATGTTCTTAGAATTTGGGGAACAAAAAGAACTCTAAAGGGGAAAGATTAGGGCAGTCTGGTGAGTAGGGGAAGGTACCCCAACAAAATTATTGTAGGACACCCTTTGCTGCCCTCAAGGAAGGAGCAGGTGCATGGTTGTAATAGGAAGAAGAAAAAAATCCTTAGTATGACTTCCTCAGCTTTTCCTCCATTCCCAATCAATTTTCAAATTTCTTATTCTTTTTCATACTAAGCCCCCATGGCCAGCCTGCATCCTGCAAGAAGATCTATCAGGACGAATCCCTTGGAGTCTAAAAAAAAAACAAAAACAGTCACCTTGGCCTTCTGAGCTGACCGCTCTGCCTTGAATTGAAGCAGCTGTGCAGGTACCCCTAGCAGCCCACCGTCCTGATGTCATCCTCTCCTTGAAGGTGCTCGGAGGACACTGAGCCATGTCTGTTCCTAAGACAACTTACCTCCTGTCATCCACTGATTTCAGAGACACGTGGCAACATGTTTTGTTGGGAATAAACACATGCATGTATGGGTTTTTGACCTACGCTCGTAACAACTAAATAATTAAAGTGTTACTTACAGCTTTGCTCTGTAATTTGTTGAAAGAATATCGCAAAGTATCAACCGCTTCTGATTCTTCTTTGGTTACTTCTACTTCAAATCTGTTTAAAATAGCATAGGCTTCCTGTGAAGTCGAAACGGAGTTGAAAAGCGTCAGAAGGGACAGTGGTTGCCCAATGTGTTCTCTTAGAGGCAGAGCACGCGTTCGGAAACGTGGTTCCCCGGGTCAGAAACAGACTCCCGCCAACCCCAGCTATGGACTCTGGGGCCGGGGTATGTAAATCCCAGCTGGCTCTGATGGCACAGACCACAGGGAGAAATGATGCTACACTAGCAAATTTTCTACAGAACCATTTTTTCGTTCTTTCTTCCTTGACCTTATGCCATCACTGTGCAAAATATTTTCCTCCTACTCTAGTATAATATGGATTGGCTATATAAGTAAATGATGATGTGATAAATACTACAAGGAAAATACATTTAAATCATGAAAGCAAATAGCTTTCCTGGGAGAATTTATGCTGAAGAAGTAAGCTTCTGCATTCTCTCTCTCTCTCCCCCTACATATGTGTGTGTGTGTGTGTGTGTATGTGTGTATAATAGCAATTTATTAATTTTTGAGGTGGTCATCATCCAAAAGTACCAAATATTGGAATGGACAGAAATAGCGAAGGCGTGAGGACCATTTCACTATCAAGCAGTGTCTACTCTACATGGACTGAAGAAAGCACGAAACAGCCATGAGCATGGAGTACCAAGAGCGGCAGTGGAAATGAGCCTTTCTAGAAGTTATAGGCACTAAAGAGATGCATAGCCTATAGAGAATTCAAAGGTACTAAAATCAATTAAGAGTCTGACTAATTTTTATTATCATCATAAACTAGAAATTCTGAACAATGTTGATGACAAAATACTTGCGGTAGACAGAACAATGAACAACGCTCCCCAAAAGATATCCACAACCTGGTCTCCAGAACCTATGAATAGGTTGTCTATGTGGCCGAAGGAACTCTAGAAATATGATGAAGTTAAGGGTCTTGAGATGGGGAGATTATCCTGAATTAATTGGGTGGGCCCAATCTAATCACAAAATTCCATATAAATGAAAGTTAATGGAATTTTTCCCACAAGCTTTTTGAAGCCCGCTCCTGTAAGGGAAGAAAGAAAACTGGAAATTCATAGAAGACGTGGTGAAGGGGTGGGTGGGGGCAGCGGGCGGGTGGGAGGCAGGGAGGAGCGGAAGCAATCCTGTCTTACTTCAATTGGCCCCAAAGTCATGTCCATTTGGATTTCATTATCACGGATACAAGACAAGGCTTCCATGGCAAATCTGACATCATCTAAATCACGGATAGGCCTAGATAACTTCTTTAAGTATTCGTTGATAAATGCTATCATGTCCGACATCTTCTTTTTGTACTCTTCATTCAAATAGCGACAAAGCAGCATCTTCCAGGCCTTAGCCTCAATCGATAAGGCCAATTTCATTGGCGCTGGTGAAGACAAGAAAACATTAAAATCGGATACGATTCTTGCAGGCAGTCCCGGGGTTGCGCACGAGCTCAGTTCCCAAGTGTATCTATCTGTAAGGTGAATTTGAAGGTTGGGTCAAGAAGGGCAGAGGGCTCTGATTTTGCCTTCCTTTAGTGCAAGAAAGGCCTGGAAGCTTTTTCAATGATTTGGAAGCTTCCCGTCCAGCCAGTGAAGGTCAAGGTGCAGAAGAATTTGTTGCCAGTAGGGGCTTGGTTCAGTCATCCCAGAGGGAAGGGAAACACACATAACCTTAAAGGGCAAGTACAAGCGTTGTCTATCCAGTCAGACGTTCGCAGTGGCCTAGTGTGTGCTGAAGCTATTTCGCGGGTCTCTGAGTGTCTAGAACTGCACTGTCCAATTTCATAATGTGGCTCTTGATCACTTGAAACGTGGTTAGTGCTGTAAGGGTAAAATGTGCACTTGATGTTTAAGGCTTCCCAACCCGATGGACTATGTTAAAGCTATACATGAGAAGGACGCCTTATGGCAAGGACCTTCTGAATTCCATTCTCGCACTGGCCATCCCATCCGGGGTCTTTACTCATTCCTCCACTTTCCTCCAGCTTATCTCCCACTCACTCAAAAACACCCTGCCATGGAGTGGAAGTCGACGCACCACACCCCTATAGGACAGGGTGCAATTGGCCCTGTGGGTTTCCTTACAGGAGGAGAAAGCCCCATCTTTCTCCCATAGAGTGGCTGGTGGCTTGATCAAGATAGAATCACTGTGCCAACAGGGCTCCTAGCTCCTCAAATAGCAGAGCGAAATCTTTTGCTTGTCTGCTCTGAACCCATCCCTAAGCCTCGCTGATGATCCAGCCAATTCTGATCTTCTGGGGAACTGTGAGTGTTTGTGAAGAAACGAGTTCCCCAAGGGAACTCCCTTCTATCTGTCTCTGTTGTTATTGTTGCTGGTTGCTGTTGGCTCATAGCAACCCCGTGTGACAGCAGAGAACTGCTCCCTGGGGTTGTGTAGGCTGTAATGTTGACTGCTGACTGTCCATGTCTTGTTATCGTATTGTTAGGGCTGATCGGCACATCTTTCTCCTATGAAGAGGCTGCTCTGTGGTAATGAACTGTCATCCTTTTGGTTAGCGGCCAAGTGCCCTTTGCCTGTGGGCTCCTTTGCCTGCAGGCAGCCCACTGCCATCCCGTCTGTTCCAGCACAGGGCGATCTGATGGAGGGTTCCTGAGACTGTCCATCTGTACAAGAGCAGACACCCTCCTCTTTCTCGGTGGGGCATTTCTACTGTCCTACAGGGCCTCCGTGAGTCAGACCCAACTCCCCAGCAACAGGTTTGGTTTGCGTTTACCAACACGCAGGTGCGTAGGGCCGTCAATACGTTTACATACCTGTATGCAGCTCCAGCGCACCCACAACAATGATGGGCTTCAACTCGTCGATCTCCTGTTCAAAAGTGGCATAGTGCAGGATTTCTGATCTGATTTCAGTCAGAGAGGGGTTGTTTGCCAAAAATTCCTAGAGTAAGGAAACAGTTCATCCATTTTTTTTTTACAGTATAAATGTTACATTTGGACAGCAAACCCTAGGAAAGCCAGAATCTGGGCAGGTAGAAACGTGTCGGGGAAGGAAACTCAAACAGTCCCCACTACAGGGAGCCATAGGAAAGCGGTTAGACTGCACCCTGTCACATGCAGAGAACCAGCAAGACCAGCGAAACAAGGCCATCCCAGGGAGTTTGGGCTCTCACTGGGTTCACAGTAACCATTAAATTTTTTCATTTCATTTTTATATATGTTGTGTTCTTGTGTGAGCCCTGAGGGCAGAGGGTCAGTAAAGAATGGACCATCTGGTGATATTGGGAAAGCAGCCTATTTGAGGGGGTTTAGTAGCCTATTAAGATCATTACTCAAAGCATTAAAATTTATAGCCAAAAAGGTAGCTGGTCAACAGAAGTTTGACCCATCCTTGCACTGCTGGCTTCTGGGAAGTATCTGGCACGCAAGTAGCACCCAGTTGTGTAAGCCAATTTAATTAAATCCCCTTCTTATCAACTGTCTTGAAGTGTCAGTGTGGGGATTACACGTGATAATGGCACAGCTGCTTGGCAAGTACAGAGTCTCTTTTCAGCAGTACCTGCCATCATCACTGGTATTTGCTTGGTACCCCTGAAACGTTGGGTAGAAACACGTAAAACCCTTCAAAGTACAGCACAGACTCTTATTAACCCTACCCACTAACACTGAAAAGAGCTGTGGTGGTGCAGTGGGTTAAGCAAAGTAATGCTAACCACAAGGTCAGAGGTTCAAACCCCACTAGTGGCTCCACAGGAGCAAGATGGGGTTGTTTGCGCCCATAAAGATTTACAGTTTCAACAAGCCACAGAGGTATTTCTCTCCAGATCACTCACTGCCATCAATTGATATTGCCTCATTTGGACCCTATAGGACAGGGTAAAACTGCTCCTGTGAGTCTCCAAGGCTGTACCTGTTAAGGAGAGTAGAGAGCCCTGTCTTTCTCCCAAGGAGTGGCTGGTGGTTTCGAACTGCTGAGCTTTAGGCTCACTGCCCAATGAATAGCCACTCTGCCAGCAGGGCTCCAGTCCTTCTCCCTACAGTGAGAATCAATTCAGCAACAGTGGTGGTGGGTTACTGCCAGTGACTTGCTTCTCACTCATTGTGACCCTGTAAGACAGAGTAGAACTGCTGCTTCGGGTTTCTGATACTGCACATCTTTCTAGAAGCAGACAGCCGCATCTTTCTCCCTCGGGACAGCTGGTGGATTTGAACCCCCAGCCTTGCAGTTAGCCGTCCAACACAGTGCTACAAGCCTCCTTAGCCTTTTCTATCTGAAAAATACCTTCACTTTCACGTCTCGATCCTCTGTCCAAAGAGTCTTGTACTTCTGAAAGTCCTGCAGGGCTTCGAGCGCCGCCTTCCGCAGGGAGTTCACGGAGGAGGAGAGGAGGAGCACCAGCTTAGAGATGTCCTTGTGCTCCGCCACTCCCGGGTAGAAGTTCTTCAGTTTCCTCGCGGGGATTTCTTCATACGATTCTGAAAATGGGTGTGTTTGCATTACAAATAACGTCTACATTCCACATGAGCATCAATTTTAATATTTATAGGGGGTTTTTTTTACCCCCCAAACTGTATTTTCTTAAACACTCTCCCTTCCAAGTAACTAGGGCTGTTTTCTTGCCTTTTTCCTCACTCTTATATTGAACTATAGTATCAGATTTGAGGTGTAGGTTTGTTTATTTTGGGTTTTTTTTAATGTAGAAAAATCAGAAAGACAATAATTAAAAGACCAAATCAAACAAACAAACAAAGTGAGGATGGAAAAAGTTCTTCAAAGACAGGTTATTAGTTGCTGATGAGTTGACCTTGACTCACAGCGACCCCGTGTGTGTCAGAGCAGAACTGTGCTCTGTAGGGGTTTCGATGGTTGATTTTTAAAATGTAGATCACCAGGCCTTTCTTGGGAGGCACCTCTGTGTGGATTTGCACCCCCAACTTTCAGTTAGCACTGTGTGTCAACCATTTGCATCACCAGGGACTCCAGAGAAAGGTTAAGTAGTTGACATTTCTATTCCGCATAATAGCATAGTACTTGTATTAGTATGGGTACTTTAGAGAAACAAATCCACAGAAACTCATGTATAAGTGAGAGTTTTATATAAAGGTTAAGTGCGCATCAAGAAAACATCCCAACCCAGTGCTGCCCAAGCCCACAAGTCCAACATTAACCCATATGTCCAACACCAATCCACAAAGTCCTCCTCCATCTCACAAAACAGACACAACGATGCCGATTGCAGGAGGAAAGCCGAGTCAGTGAGCGTGTAAACATCTCAGCACTGGCAGGGGTCTCCACACGGCTGCTCCAGCACCCAGGGCTGCATCAGGGTAGATCCATGTGGCTTCTCCTCAGGGATGTCTTGAAGGAAGTCGGCCTTGCAAGCTGAAGCAGGGAACTGCCAAGGCAGCTGCACCCTAGTGCAACCATCACAAAGCAAGAGAGCTGAGAACTCATAAGGCGAGGCTCACCGAGCCATTTATCCCTCCGCCCTTCAATTAACCCCACCGGTGTTTATCAGCCAGGTTGGCACAATAAGCTGACTCAGTACTTGAGAGAAAAGCACCAAGCAGATTCCTCAAATGGCTTTGTTGTTGTTAGTTGCCACTGAGTCAACTCCAACTCATGGTGAGCCCTTGCGTGCAGAATAGAACTGCTCTCTGGGGTCTTCAAGGGTGTAACACCTCAGAAACAGGTGGCCAGGCCTGCTTCTCAGAGGCACCTCTGGATGAATTCGAACCACTTCTTTTCAGCTAGCAGTCAAGTGCTTCACCAGTTACGCCACTCGGGGATTCCCGGCGACCTTGGGCCAGCTCTTTCATCTTTATGGATAATACTGTGGGGATTGAAGGAGATAATCTATGTTCATCCTCAGCTCAACTTCCAGGCGATAAAGATCATGCAATAACTCCACTAAAACCTGGGCAAGCTGGAACCTCGAGAAGGCAGACATCTGTTGTGGTTAGAATGAAGCCATTGAGTCTGCTCCAAATTAGAAACCAGGTTCGAGAAGAAAATCTCAAATCTGTTCCAATGAAATGAGTGACAGGAGAGTGGAAAGAATGCACCCTGTCAACGGTGGAAAACTTTCGATGGCCTGAGAAACTTAGCAGTCCCAGTGAGTTCCGGCTCTCACAGGTTTCACTCTGTTCAGCACTATTATACCGAAACACATCACTCCCATGAGCAAAGATTCCAGCATTCACCATCACGCAGAAACCTCACAGGTACTTTTGTTGAGCCAGTGTCGTGCAGTGGTTAAGTGCTCAGCAGCCAAGTGAAAGGTCAGCTTTGGGGAACTACCGGAGGCCCCATGGGAGAAAGAAGTGGCAGTCTGCTTCCATTAAGAATAAAAGCTTGAAGATAAACAGCCATCTTGCTCAGCAGCAACGAAGCCCACATGGAAGAGCACACCAGCCTGTGTGACCACAAGGTGTCGAAGGGATCAGGTATGAGGCATCAAAGAACAAAAAATCATATCATTGCGAATGAGGGTGAGTGCAGAGTGCAGACCCAAAC